ATATATATATATATATATATATATATATATATATATATATATATATATATATATATATATATTGTAAATGCATGTCCTAATTATTGGTCATAAATTTATGGGATACAAAATGTCTTTTTCTCTATCATCTTCATTTATGACATGACTTCAAATGACACATATTTGTCTCTCATCTATAGGCATTTACGATAGACATTGTGCCTTTTTTCTAGTAGTGACTTCTGGTTCTTTTCATTTAGACATTTAAATTAAATAAATCTATATTACAACAAACAATTACATTAATTCTTTCCACAACTTACAATTAAAACATTGAATTTCTCTTGGTTTTTATTCACATATTCAAATAAATAAAACGATAATACACTTAAAAAACCAATCAAAATAGATTTGGTGGTTAGACTAAAACCAGCATTAATATCATGCATCACTAACTTCGTAGCCAGCTTCTTTGTGTGTTAAATGTAATATAGCTTCTGAAGTATAAAAAGGATAGAGTGTTTCATATGCCTTTGTTCCATCTATATCGTTCACCCTCTCCGTGGGATGAAAAGCATCCCAAAATATATAATTTTGCCTGTTGCTACATGGAACTTGATTCGGAACACAACTCCCTTTTCCGGTGGTTCTTAACTCAATTTCACAGCATGGTTTATCAGTAACATTTAAATCTGTATGCATGTAAACTATGCACATTAGTAAAATGTTAAATAATTCTATTCTATCCTACAAAAATACAAATTTTAACTTTGAAGGTTAAACAATATTGTCAAAAGTGATGATTTATACCATTAGGATATACTAAACGAGCGTCGATCAAGATGAACTTTGCATCAAGGAATCTATTGTTAAGATCATTTAGAGTAGTATTAAGCAGGGTGTTGAATAATTTGACCGCATTATTAACTAAGTCGACGCAAGAGTTCAAGCCATAATCGGCCATGATCCCTGGGCAACAACCCGAATAGCCTGCTGCAAAAATTCCAAACTTTCTAGCTCCAGATTCATACAATTCCTGTGGATTAATATTTGTAAATTCGTTTTATTTTTTCATCACGAAATAGATTTGATGAACAAAATATCTCAAAATAAGAAATATAATCTTGAATCAAATAAATTTAATAATACAGACCAAAATTTTGACACATTATTGGGCTCAATCCAATAATTTTCATTACGATTTAGTTGAAAGAAAAAAAAAATATTCAAATGTATTTATATTTATACATCTACCTATTATAAATCTTGTTAGCCGCCTTATATATATATATATATATATATATATATATATATATATATATATATATATATATATATATATTCAAATGTATTATATTTATCTTTTATCCCGAAATATCTATTGTAACCTTCATATATAGTTGATCATTATTAATAAGAGGGCATGAATTCTTTCATGTTTAATCAAGGTTCCAAAGCATTCGTCATGGTGTGTCATGTCTCCAAAGCTTGTAGTTGGCGCCAAGCTCTAAAAAAATGTTGCATTATGTCATATGTATATATTTATGAATAATAGTAGAAAATACATATTAAAATATTAATTGTATACAAAATTTCCACGTTATGTCATGCCATACAAACGATGTGTCTCACCACGACTCGTAAAAGCTTGAGGCTTGACATTGCCTCCAAGTTACGCATAACGTTATTTAGAACCGTGTATTTAATTCATCCATGTTAATATGTTTTCAGAGTGCAAGTAAATCAGCCTTATCTCTCTATCTCCTCTCTGCTTCTTAGTAGCACCAACATCGTTTAGCTTTTCTAGCCACCACGAAACACCTTCCTCTTCTCTTTAATCTGGTCAACCTTCTTCGTTTACCATGGTGTAAAATATATGTGGAGTCTATAATTGTCTCGTAAAAAAACCCTAATAGAGAGAAGGAGAGAGAGAAAGAGAGGGAGAGGGAGAAGGAGAGGGAGAGGGAGAGAGAGAGAGATGATCCAACATATGTAGACACTTATAGGTCTTTCTCTTAGAGAAAACAAAGGCTCGACAAGGATACACAATGATGTTTTAAGCCACAGGGGTGAGGGACACCGACTCTGATACCATATAAGATATATATGAAGTACAATATTATCTCTCCAAAATATCTCTTATGGAGAGAGGGGGAACCAACATATATAGACACTTATAGGACCGTGTAGCACCAATGTGTAGAGAGATATATGTGGAGTCCAAGATTATGGCTCCAAAATAAATTTTATGGAGAGATTAGGGACTCCAACATATATAGACACTTATATGACTGTGTCGCACCAATATAGGATACACTAACGCAAGGTGACCATAGATTCAACCTTAGATGTGAATAAATTCCCATTTCATGTCGATTTTGCGGTGACTAACATAAAGAATTTTATATCTATTCAACTCAATAAAAGCGATTTGACACTATGCATCATGTGTTGAACTATTTCAGATGTACACATGCACCTAAAATGTGCTCTATCACATTGAATCGAATACCCCTCACCCTACTACCATTGACGTTCCAATATGGAAACGATTAGATGTCATTCTAAAACAATGGATCTACAACACCATATTCACTAACCTTCTTTAGATAGTTAAGAAACTATGTGTATCTGCCCAAGAACTTTGACAGAGATCCCAATTTCGTGTATCCGGTTAAGCAAGCCCCGCCGCCAGCTTCCACCCAGAAAAAAAGTGAGCGCCTAGCGCGAAACGTTGCTTTACTAAGCAACACAACATTAGCACTTTAGTTTGTTTGATTGCTCGTTAGTTTCATTTTTAATAAGGGGCGGGAAGAAGCGAGCCTATGGGACGCTGGCAGAAATATTTCAATACAACAAACAACACGGGCCTCATATATAGAAGAGAAATTCAACACAACTCGTCTTCATGTAGGCTCCAACATCACTAATGTTTGTTCTCCCTTCAAATCTCAAGTTGACCAACTAACTTATGTTGATAATCCTGTATCATAAAACTAAATGGTGATATAGTTGTTATATGGTATTTGCAAAGGTGATTATGGAACTTAATATGGTTTATGTGTAATTACACATATGCCCTAGCCAATAAGGTTCACTATGATCGGCTTGACATGGTCAATCCATGACAACCGAACCACGATCACCTGATTGAACCATTATTGCGAAACCATGCCTACTTACGAACATGGATGGATAATGAATCTACACTATAATAAGCTAAGCAATTCAAAGGAATGATGATGCGTCGATTACAGAAATGTACATGTTTTTTCCAACAAGGGTTAGTTGTACCTTTGTCATAAGAAAAGTGCTAATGACATTACCTTCGAACATAATCTCGTACTTTCAGCCTTACAAACATTTAATATGAAAAGACAGCAACCTGCTTGGCATGGAAAGATAGCACTTACCGAGAAAGAAAGAAGAAGAAGAAGAAGAAAGAGATAAATAAATCGATAGAAGGTAAGTTATTTATACACTCATTCTTACACCTACAACATACGAATACACTTATCGAATTCAAACCTAATTTGATCGTCGAAGCGTTTTCCTAAGAATACTATCCCTGGTAAATGACTTACGATTTGTGTATGTTCTCAGGTTATTTGCTTGACACTCTTGAAAAGGGATAAACTTCATTACGCCCATTCCCCCTAGAAAAGCTAAGTCACAACAACACCATTGGTACATTTATTCAACAAATTGATCGCTTACTCATTTCAACAAAGCCATGTCAAAGCTACTTTTGGAGGAGACGCTCTGAAAAAAATGGATGGAGAATGACTAAAAGAATTAACTCCTAAAGTTTAAAAAACTACTGATTGGTAGAATGAAGCTTATGGGAAAAACTGACAAATTGATGAAAAATGAGTTGACTTTGACTGAACTAGTAATTGTTATGGTGTCAATTTTTCAAAATTTGAAACCTTTGTGGTCAAAAATATGATGTAGGAAACTTGAAATAAGATGCATACCCTCACCATTTGCCCTCATTTCTTCTCCTACACATTTTAGAGAGATAAAGAGTATCACAATGGAAATTTCATGAATGATTTCACAAAGAGTTTGAATTAAAGAAGTAATTGGTCTAGTGAAGAAAGATTTGAAGCATCCTAGGGCTTGTAAGGTATAATTCCTTACTATTTCATCTAAAATTAGAGTTTGTGAAAGGGTTGTAAATCTGAATTTGTTTTTATAATGAATTGTCGGCTAGAATTTTGTTTCTAACACTTCTGAGAGTGTTGATGTGGTTTAATCCTAATTCCATCACTCTTTTGATTGATTTTGTATTTGGGATTGAATGATGCCACAAACCCTAGAATCTCCATTTATGATCATGAATTTTTTTTAAGTAGTATTCCTAAATGATTCTATGATCATTAATGTAATTTTCTTGCAATAAATCCATCATGGATACACAAACCCATTGGAATGAGAGAATCATAGCTTAAATGATGATTTAGGGATTTCATTGTTGACATTAGAAAAATAATATGTAGATTTATCCATTCAGATATGTAAATTATATTCTAAATCATGAATTAATATATTAGGAATGAATTGGATGCAAAACATGAAGAATTGCTTGAGCTCTAGGTGACTCTAAAGATTATTTGGTCATAAGGGAAATTTGGGAAACTATAGAATGAATTTGGTAATTCCATAGTTACATTAAGTATCTAGAACCATGTAGAATGTCTTTTAGCATGATATGATGCACTTGATGGCATTCATATGAATATTGGATGGTGTTGGATGAATCATATTGGTCATTGTTGAGCTCGTCTATAAATTAAGCTCATAACTACTTTATTGCGAGTTTAATGATCATTGTGCCCTTAAGACTTTTAAACTGTTAAGTACTTATGTAAATGGAACATAAATGGGTATCAAATGAGCTTCATAGACTTGTTACGTCCCTTAGAGTCATCTGGGTGATATATAGACGGTTTGGGTGCATAGAGACCAATGTATAACACTTAGAAATGAAGTTTGGGACATTTTTGGACTGTTGGCATAACATGCATCGTGTTATTTTGACATAGGTCGTATTCTGTGTTCTGTTAAGAAGTCATTGGTTATCCTTAAAACATTCATAATTGTTTCTTCTGGACTTGAAATAATGTGCGGTTTTCACCTACATTCATGTTTTAACATAAATGAAGTAATAAAATTTAAGATCTAGGATTAAGAGCTTAATAAGTGACTTAATGGATCACTTAATAGAGTTTTGATACACCTTTTAATGCAATTAGGTGCCACTTGAGTTACTACATTCTTGAGAAGAAAAAAGGTTGTTAGAAGCATTTTACATACCTTGAAGGTTAAAAAGGATAGCTTTAGACTAACGTTAGTTACCGGGAACACACATGCCTTACCTTACTTTGAATTTTTGTTATGATATTTCCTAAATGATACTATATGTATTTGTGCATCCATGAAATGCCATTTTAGAAAATGGTTTGATTATAAAATCAAAAAGCTTACATACTTTGAAAATGATTTAAGCATCCTACTTGTGTATATCATGCTAGGATGAGTGTGATTGTGAGATCCCTGGTTCAAATTGGATATTTGTTTTGTTTGTTTAATGTCTGTAGATTTCTAAATTATTCTCACATGCACAAGTAGAGGATCGCTACCCCTTATATGGCATAGGATGATGTCCATAGTGCCTGTTTATGGATATAAGTGCAAAAGTTGACATTATCGTCTCTCATGAGCTCTTCATATTTTACCATCAAACCTTGTTTGTGGATATTAGTGAATTAGTGTCGTCTGTCATGAGCTCTAAATATTCGGTCTTTGTTGGTGAGTTGGACTTATGAGATTCGCAAAGGGTTAGGAATAGTTTCATGCAATTCATCTTACTTACTGTTTTCATTTTGGTTTACCTTTTTATGTAAATTTTGGGACTTAGTTGTCCCTTTTGGAAAAGGCTTTGTTTAAAGTAAAACTTTTGAGCATATAAAACCCTTGATTTGATTTGGGTTATTAAGCAATAATCGTTCTTTGTGTTTTAAAGTATTTTTGGAGG